TGCCTAACAGCGGCCTCTCGGTGCCGGCTCTTCGGGGACCCACCGTGAGGTTGAGCCCTCCCAGTGCCCCTCGGGGTGATGGGGCCCTCAGCAGGCCCCTCACGCAGCCCTCAGCCGCTTTAGGGTTCCCCTGCCTCTGGCAGCGTTGCTGCCCGCCCCCTTCCACAGCGGGCACTGTCCTGCTGTGCTGATCCTCTGCTCCTCACTGCTTTGCCTGCCCTTCGGCCACCCCGCCTGCGCCTCTGCCCCTTCCCTAGGGTATGACTCGCCCTGGCACTGCAAGGGTGGGAGAGGGGTGACCTTAAGCTCGGAAAGAAATGCTGCCCTGCTGCTACCATTCCTGCCAGTTTTCCCTGTTTCACCTGTGTACCATCTTCCTCGTTTTTTCCATTCCAGAGCCACTCAGTACACATGCATGTTGCTTAGCTATTTAATAGAGCACAAGGCTGATAAAGAGAAGCTGGTAATGAAGCTCAAGCAGTTGGAATCTAGCATGAGCTCTGGCCGGAAAAGTAAGTACCTGGTGTCTAGAGGGATAAGTCCTTCGCTTGCTCCTTCCAGCAAAACAGCTCCTGGCCTTGCATTTCCTTTAGTTAACTTACTTTGAGCCACAGAACCATTTTAGTACATTCACAAAACTGTCAATAGCCCTTCTCCTTGCCTTGGCTTGCCAGGCTAGATAGGGCCAAGTAGACATTTATTACTTCCTCAGCCTCCTCTCCAATTAGGCAATCTGAATTGTCACTGGGAGAACTAGATAAGTAAGTTACCAGTCTGCTGTTGCTGCAGAGGTCAAGTTGTCCTCTCTGTTCAAGGCCAGACTGTAGAGTTAGGATGCAAGGCTGGCTCACTCTGCTCTCATTAGTCCTTCCAGCTAATGGGCTCAGACTGTCTAACATTAAAAATCATCATCCCAATAAAACCACCTCTGAATGACCATCCTTCAATATGGTTTTTTGTATCCTACTTCACATATTAATTTTCTTTAGCATTTATACTCTACTAAATCGTATACCCTTCCATAATTTTCTCATAGTCTAACCATATTCATCACTTCATTCTGTGTCACGGTTGCATCCAGTCTGGCTATGCTGTTGCTGTGGTTATATCGCTTGCTTTCAAGTTGATCTTACACCTACTTATCAGTTGCTCAATCCTGGAACAACTTCAGCATATGAGGCAAATATTCTAATTTAATATGTTACCATGGATTTGTTTTATTATTCCATTTAGTTCCAGAGTATGGTAATTTCTAGCAGACCAGCTGGTTTATCAGCATAGCTGTAATTCTTTTGCTTCTGCTAAACAAATCTCTAATAGACCTAAATTCAGGACTAAAGGCGTGAGGCCTAAATTCAGGACTCTTGCAGTTCCACTAAGTTTGGGTGCTGCCAACATCCATCACTGTGACAGTGCAGCAGATTATGAAAAATATTTTGCATAATATTGTATTAACATTCGTGCTGTGCAGTGATGAAATCAGGCTTGCCATATATTATCACTTGAAATGGAATATACTGTTCCTGTTTGCAGGGAACTACGTGTACCTCTGACTAATTCATGGCTGAGGAGGGACGTGGGTCTCAGTGTGTTTGGCACGTGAATCACCCGCTTTCACAGAAGCTTAGGAAAGTTACAAGTCATGGTTATTGAAGTAACATCTCCTGTCCACAGTCGGGTGAAATCCAGTGCAGCATTCAGCTGAAATCAGAGACTCTGTTTGTGTCACCTTTTTGCTGACACTGACTTATTCAGAGCAGTTAGTGACATTGATCCAGAGGGCACCCAGGCAATGAGAACAGAGCGGCAGGAGAAGGCTGCGAGTCCTGGCTATTGCCAAAATTAGTGTGTAGGTCCTGGGCTGAGGCAGGACAGAACTGAGATTTGTACAGCCTTTTCCTCGCTCATACTAGCTTCTCACACCATGAGAAGAAAATGCTTCAGCATACAAATGCCCAAAGCCCACTAAGTTCTTTAGAAGTACATGTAGACATGCCAAGCTGTCCTGCATAGGGCTGTGTCTGTGGTAGAGGCCAGGCCATGCTAACCTTTGCGAGGTTTCTTGCAGTGTTCAGACTGGGCAACATGGTACACGCCTTGGTAGCAGCCAAGAAAACTACACAGCTGGCAGATGTGGTTCCTCGCTTCTGCCTCACAGCTGCCAACCTGACCCGTGCCCTCTACTTCGTCTGCGATGGAGTCCTGTGGTTGAAGAGTGTTGGGCTCCAACCTGACATCGATAAGCCAAAGTGGCAGAATTGGGCTACCAAGTGTTACTACTTTTCACTCCTGATGAATCTAGCCAGGGACTGGTATGAGATCTCCTGGAGACTGGAACAAGCTGTACAGGAAGAAAAGGCAAAGGAGAATTCCTTCTGGGACAAACACAGCCAGGAACTAAACTGTGTGAAATGTGCTGGTTTGCATGGTTTTCTCCTTCTGCTGTTTCAGATACTGAAAAAACATCCTCCTCTGCTGCTGGACTTGGTGAAGAATCTCTGTGATCTCTCAGGTCCTTTGGACACGCTGGGGATCTACAAGACCAACCCAGGAGTGATTGGTTTCTGTGGCATCCTCTCCTCCCTGGTGGGGATCCTCACGTTAGCAAGCCCACATCTGAAGCTGAAACAGTGACATAAAAGGAGCTGCACTGAGCCGACAGCTTTGATCCTCTGATAGGTGTTTATACTCCATGTGGCACTTTCAAAATGATCATGTCTCACAGTAACCTCAAGATTAATTTTATCCTCCGAATAAGTGAATTCTACCCTTTTTCCTTCCCTGTATCTTTGCAGATGAGTTTGGTACCATGACACACTCCCTGATGGAGTGGAGGTGGAAGAAGGTAGATAAATCTTTCACAAACAGAAACAGGACTTGGAACATGGCTGCTAGATAAGGAAATAATAATGTTCCTATATTTTAATACAGGGTTGTGAAATAGCTGCATAGACAACTGTAATAGGTATATGACTCGTAACTAATCATGTTTACACTGGAAAGCTGGATTTCACCAATCAGAGTTTCCTACAGTCAGATTTTCTATAGTCAGCTCAGATAAGTTAAGAGCTGCGGTTAAAATGGTCTGAAGTCAGTACAAGTGTTCTGATGGGTTTGGGTTGATGGATCCTGTCTTCTGTAGACAGTGATGTGAATGCAGTGTGATGGTAAGTGAAGAGTGGAATTGTGTGGCTTTCCCATGATGTCTGTGTGACGTGCACTGGTGACGCTGGATTTGTTGTCTAGCGAGTGCCAACTTGTGTCTCAGGAAATCGGCACACACTTCTTTTCCTTCAGCAATGTGAGCCAAGGACCACTGGCCACCAAGTCTGGCTTCTCCAGCAGGCCATGGCTGAGGGTTTTGGTGAAGGACAGTGTGGAGGAGAAGCTTGTCTGAGTGCTGATGGTGCCGTGGTTTGTGGGGAACTGAGTTTCCAAAGCTGTGAATCTGGAACCACTCACTAGCACTAAGTTTCCCATTTCACGTGCACCTTAACTCCCAAACCACTGTGATTCCAAGTGCAACAATTTTCCATTAATCAGATTGTGATAAGGAGCTTGCTTTGTTGTTTTAATTTTACATATTTTACATGAAAAATTCCAGTATAATAAGGAGCTTTGGAACCTGCAGTTAAAGAGAAAAGCCTGTCTCAGAGCTCATTGAGTCAGAAAAACTACAAGGGTGTGTTTCTAGTTGTGTAAGCTCCTGGAGGGAAGGGAATGGAGTTGGTCATTAGAGCAGGATCCCGTGTGAGAAGAAAAGCTTATTACTGGATTTGGGCATTCATGGGTCAGATTTTCCTATCTGGTCCTCCCTATCCTTCCCTCTCATGACCACAAGATTCCCTGTGTGTTCCCTCGCTGGTTGAATGGGTTCTACCATTTGAAAATGCCTCGCGTTTGCCCTGCAACTGCATTATTGCTTATCACCTGCCTTGCTGGGAATGGTCGCCTGGCAGTGTAAACTAGGCTGAAGGAGCAATGCTGTGTCCAGCTGTCTAACAGTTGCTTGGCAGGCAGGCTTTGTTTACAGAGTACCAGTTCTGACACCATCTGAGAAAAATTTGCACATCATATAGGAGATAAAATTATCATTTTTCTTCATCAGACTGAGGCCTCTGTGTTCTGCTACTTTTTGGTGCAAGGGCTCCTCGTTTAATCTGTCAGGAGATGCGAACAGAGACTACTTTAACCTGGACCAAGGTACTCTCTTATTATTTCTGATGCTGTCTGAAAACAGAAATTAAAAGGTGCCGGTCTCCTTTATTAAAAGGAGAAGGCTGTGGAATTGAGTAGGTGGGGTAAGGCAGCGCCCCAGTTTACCTTAAATCATTGTGGTCAGGCTTGGAATTACTTCCAGTTTGAATCCAAAGTGTGAGCCTGCCAATGAAGTGCTTGAAAGAAGAAGTTGCTGAGCTGGATAATTAAGTGTGCTTGAAAGCCAGATGTGGCCTACAGCACCTCTTCTTTTTGATATGGAAATGAATACTATGAAAAGTAGAGTGTACTGGCAGTTCAGACCATAATGGGTCATTACCTATGGGGTATCTTGTCATCAAGGGCTTCCTCTCCTTTTTAACAATGGCATTTTTTTGTTTCTTTACTCCATTTGCCTTTGAGCTCCTGGCAATGCAGGGCCCATCCCTCCCTTGCTCAGATTTGATCCTTATCTCTGTGCCTAGCAACAACTGGAAGGAAGGGAGTCTTGATGATCTGACAGTGGAGGTTTGGCCACCCTTTGTCTGCAGAATTTTGTCTTCTTGCAAGAAAAAGCATTTTTAATTCCTCTCAGAGGAGCTCTTGGCTACAAAACACTTCTTTCACTGGTTTGTGAACTGATTTCTATTTTTCCCTTGTAGTTTGTAGGTAAGAAGAAATGCATTAACATCCTGCTGTGGCCCCCAGCCAGCTACACCTCCCTGTGCCCTGCTGAGGGAGAAGGGTGGGTTTTTCCCTGGTGTCAGGCAAACACTCTGCAAAACCATGA